GGCATGGAGAGCAGCAACGTGGAGATCCTGCACGTGGCCAAGCCGGAGAAATACCAGCTCCACCTCCACGAGAGCTGCGTCCTCTCCCTCAAATTCGCCTCCTGCGGTAGGAGTGTGGGCAAGTGCAGAGGCGGGCTTGGGCCGGCCGAGGGGTTGCATGGCCTAGTGGGCAGAGCAGTGGCGGGGACTCGGAAAAAAGCATCTGTTCCTGGCTCTGCCGCTGTCCTGCTGGGTGCCCTTGGGTCAGTTACTGCCTCGCTCCTTGCCTCAGTTTCCCCTCCCACCCGAGGTCCATGGAGCTGATTAGCTCTTTGGGGCAGGGGCAGTTTCCCTACGTGTCTGTGCAGCTCCGGCACAATGGGAACCCAACCTCGGTTGTGGGCTGGAGTTGCTAATGGCGCACACATCTCATCTGAGCGTGAAGTGGCCAGCCCCGGAACATGGAATGGAGCTTGGAAGGCTGCGTGGATGGGAATCCATGTTTACAGGCAGGCTGAAAGTTTATCCAGCCCGGGCTGTGCTTTGGATGCTCCCGGTGCATCGTCCTCTGCTCCCAGGGCAGGTGGCTGCTTGTGGGATGCTGTTGGAATCCCCCACCCCTATGGGCAGCGTCTCCCCTTTTGCTGAATCTCTCGACCAGGCACATGACAGCCCCCCGCTGACCCATTGGACTCTCCCGCTGCAGGTAAATGGTTCGTGAGCACAGGGAAGGACAACCTGCTGAACGCCTGGAGGACGCCCTACGGAGCCAGCATCTTCCAGGTGAGGAAGGGGCACTCTGCCAGGAGGCCCATTCTGTTTAAATCCCTTGCCCCCGGCAAGGCATAGAGTGGGAGCAACTGCCCAGCCCATCAGTAGCTGCCCCAAAGCCAGGATCATAGATTCCAGAGCCAGACTGGACCCTAGTCTGACCTCCTGCACGACGCAGAACAGGCGTTCCTGAATTAATTCCTGATGGACACAGAGCATCAGTTAAATCAGTGGGAGGCTTTTCCCTTGGTTTTAATGACCCTTAGCGCCAGCCTTCCCTGCCAGGCGGAGATCGGGGAGTGCTGAGAGAAAGAAAGTTGGGCTTCGATTTTAACTCACCTCAGAACAAGGCCTCGGGCAGTCTTTGCCACTGGTCTCCCTGGCCCTGCTCTCTCAGCCCCCCCCCCCGTTATCCCACTATCGAGGCCACCCAGGGCAGGTTCCCTCTCCTAACCTCCACCCCCTCTCAGTCCAAAGAGTCCTCGTCGGTGCTAAGCTGCGACATCTCGATCAACGACAAGTTCATCGTCACGGGCTCTGGCGACAAGAAAGCCACCGTCTACGAAGTGGTGTACTGAAGGGTGTGCGCGGGGGCGGCCGGGACCGAGCTGTACCATGACCAAAACCCCAGCGCCACCCGGGGCAGCCTTTCCAACCACCCGCTGCGGCCTCCGAAGGCGGCGTGCGCCGGGAGTGGGGCCCCTCCCCACCGCGTCAGCTGCAGAGCGGCCCGAGAGCCTCGCGCGGTCATTCCCGGCTCGGAGGTGGGCCCTGTCAGTGCTTCCTCAGGCTGTGCGCGCAAACAGGTGCAGGCGGATGGAGACACGAGACGCCTCGCTTCCTTTCTGCATCTTCCACGCTTCCTCCCAGGGGCAGATGTGGGGGAGTAAGGACTAGCCGGGATCTGACCGGAGAGGCCGGGCCTGAGCGGCTTCCCAGCTCGGGGCCTAGCAATGGCCGGCTCCCAAGGCACGGAGGGGAGTGGCTACAGGCGCAAGCGATGCTGTTCTCACTCAGCGAGCGAAGGGGCTGGGGCCTGCCACTTCTCCCACATCATTGCTACTGATTTAATGATGCCAATTTTCTGTTGAGAAAACAGCTGTAATTTCTCCTTGGTAAATAAATGTATTTAACAGGCCGCGGTTTCAATCCCTGCCTAATGAAACGTGTGGATTTTCCGCGTGGCGGGGGACAAACAGGGGGCCCAGTTCAGCACGTTGATTTGCCATGTCAAACCGAGCCTGGAAAAAAGTGAAGACGGGCCCCAGGCTGCTAACGAGCCCCCTCCTCCATGAGCGTTCTGCCCGGATTACAGCCAGAGCCCCCCCGAAACGCACCCGCTGCTTCAGTGACTTGGTGGAAAAGGAGCCGGCGTCCGCCCTGGAGATGCTGGTGATGGCTGGGTCCTCTCGCTGGGGGGGGGGGGGGGGCTTTGCGCGGGGTGTAGGGTGGCGGGGCTGAGCTGGGTGAGCTCTGCTACTGCCTCTCTGGATGACCTTGGGCAAGTCACTTCCTCTCCTGAGGCCTCAGTCCCTCACCTGTAAAATGGCTCCCAGGCTTTTGGGGGTTTACTGTGAGCTCTTCAGTGCAGGGCCTCCCCCTCCCCTCCCCCTTGGGGGATGCGCGGTGCCTAGGGTTGCCAATGCTCCCGCATTGGCCAGGAGTCTCCTGAAATCAGCCTCAATCTCCTGGTTGCCATTGAAAGCAATCTGGTAGATTTTAATAGGCCAAAAGTCCGGTTGGCGGGTGTGGGGCTAAGGCAGGCTCCCTACCTGCCCTGTCTGCGTGCAGCTCCCGGAAGGGGTGGCATGTCCCTGTGGCTCCTAGGCGCAGGCAGGGGCGGCCGGTGGGGGTCTCTGTCCGCCAACTCCGCAGCTCCCATTGGCCAGGAACTGTGGCCAATGGGAGCTGTGGGGACAGTGCCTGCAGGCAGGGGCATGCCACTGCTTCTGGGAGCAGCCGGAGATAAGCGCTACCCAGAGCCTGCAACCCCCTGCCCCAGCCCTGAGCCCCCTCCTACACCCAAACGCCCTCCCAGAGCCTGCCACCCCGCCCCCCTGCCCCAGACCGGTGAAAGTGAGTGAGGGTGGGGGAAAGTGAACAAGGGAGGGAGGGGGAAATATAGTGAGAAGGGGCGGGGCCTTGGGCCAGGGGGCAGGGCAAGTGTGTTTGGGTTTGTGCCATTAGACAGTTGGCAACTTCAGCAGTGCCTAGCACCACCGTGGGGCCCAATCTGAGAGGCGGGAGGTGCTAATTAGGCTAAGAGGTGGAAAATGGTACAGCGGGCTATAAAGCCCGAGCATCAAGAGCCTCCTACAAAGCTCTATGGACTAATTAAAGCAGGAGTAGGCCCCCCAGCTAGGGGGCAGGGAGAGGGGGTGTGGGAGGGGGGGTTGTCTATCCTTCCAGGGAGTGACACTTAAGGGGCTGCAGGCGGCCCGCTGGAGAAAGCAGCAGCGGCTGAAGGGCTGCCTGGAGCCTCGGCTGCGCCCGCTAGAGCCAGGGCAGCGGCGTTGGCTGCAGCCCCACGGGGCAGAGTGCGTGGCGGTTGGGCGCAGCGATGCCCTGCGGCCGAGGGCCTGCGACTGCCAGCCACCGGCGAACCAGGCCCCTGACACGGAGCTCGAATACCAGGAACACTCGGGCCATGAGGCAAACCTACCTGAGTTCAGAGTCCCCCTTGGTGCCTTCCCACCCCCATCCCTTTCACCAGCTTCCTTGCCAGGACACAACCCCATCGCCAAGCCGAAGACAGGCTGGAGCAGCCGAGCCCGAGGCCAGCCGGCTTGAGTCACTAGCGGCTTGAGCCCAGCAGCCGCCCCTGCCCACTGAAGAGGAAAAACAGGTTTTGAGACAGCTGAATGGAGGGCGGATCCAGGCGGGCTGATCTGCCACCCACCTCTCCAGCCCTTGCCAACTCAGCCCGCCCTCGCTTAGCTTCGAAGCCAGGGAGCTCATGCTGAAAGAGCGGCCCCCTTTCTGGACCTTGGCCACAAAGGGCCTGGGCCTGGGCCTGGGCCTGGGGGGAGTGGAGTATTTCGGTAAAGGAGAGTCTCCCTCCCGCGCTCAGCTAGAACCTGGGCTTCTACCGTCACCCCCGAGCTGGGGCAAGAGGCCAGTGCACAGGACAAGAGGGTGAAGGGCTGGATGAAGGGGAAGCTGCAGAGACCAGGTGGCTCAGTGTACAGCACCTGGGCAGATCACTGCAGTGGGGCTCTCAGCACCCATCCCTGTAGGACGTGGATACCACTGGAGTTCACCACCCCCACCTGCTGCTTCTGTAGATTTGAGCAACTTCTACTGTCTCTCCCCTTGCTCGGGGGGGACGTGCTGCCTGAGTCTGCTTCTGCCCTCGGCCTCAGCACGAAGACACACCGGCGGAAGCCCAAGCACAGCTGTAACCCTTCCCTTCCTTCTCCCAGCCCTGGCCTAAGGGCAAGGGGAGGCTGGTGCTGTGGTGCCAGAGGGAGCAAAGCATGTGGGAAAACACACCCGAGTGCTGCACGGGATTGAAATGAGTGTGTGTGCACCAGACCGATGCACACGCAGTGTAGAGGGCTCTCTGGCATTATTAATACCGAGCGCTTTGCATGAGTGGCTCTCAAAGGTCACCACCAGCCCCAAGTTACAGGTGGGGAAGCGACTTGCCCAACGTCAGCGGCAGAAAAGGGGCTAAAACCCAGCACCCCTCAGTGCTCTAGCCGCTCACTCGCGCTGCCTTCCTCTTCAAAAGCTCTCTGGGTGGGAGAGCGAGCTCGCCCTTGGGCCCCGCTCACCCCACAGCGGCAGAAGGTCCCTCACGCAGAGACGGGCAGTAGCAGGGAATTCAGACGGAAGGCTGATCCTCAACGCCCAGCCCTTGTAATCACAGTTCACCGCTGATACCACAACCGCAGCCTGAGCATTCCCGGCTGTGCCAAACAGGAGCATAAAGGCAGGGGGCGGGGAGCCGGCGCTGGAGCCAGTTGAAAGTCTGACAAATCCCCGCCCCGTCCAAAACAAAAAAGGGCCATTTTGTTTTACCCGGTTTCCTGGAACCGTAGCCCCTGGCTGAGAATTTCAGCCGGAAGATGGGGCAGGTTCAGGCTGGAATTTCTAGGCAGAGCCCGGGCTCCAGCCCTCACTCGGGCCGTGGGAGTAAAGATGCTGTTTCAAAACCCTGCTCTGCACCATTCAGCGCGGGGACGAGAGCCTGGAGCGGCCAGGCAGTTGCCCCAACTCCTGGGCTAATGGCCCCAACTCCTGGGCTAGTGGCCGTTCTGACAGGCAAGGCCAGTTCTAGCACAAAAGTTCCAGAGGTCCTGGTTCTCCCCCACAACAGAACAAAAATCTTTAAAACGTCCAGTGCTTAGCCCCTGTCACCACCACAAAACAGACTAGTTGTTTTCTGGCCAGGCTGAGCCGGTGCTTCCAGCCCCAGCAGGGTAGAAAGCCAGAAGTCAGGGCAGGCAGCCAGCCAGCAGTTTGCACAGACACACACCTGCAGGAGGGGGAAGGCAGGCCTTGTAAACAGGGCAGCCATCAGAACACCCCCCCCACACACACACACACACTTCCTGAAGCAGAGAGCTCTCTTCCCCCCCCCAACACAGAGGAAGTGAAGGGGGGGGGAAAAGGAGGGAGATGTTTTTGCTGAGGAAGCTGAACGGTTGGGCCCAAGGAGGCTGACGTACACACGCAGGCTGTACTTGGCAGAGACCCCGGCCTGGAGGCAGCACCAGATGCCAGCTGGAAGGGTAAATCGCTGCGGGGACCTGTCGTGTTCCTGCTGAGTGCCAGGCGGGAAGTAGCAGCAGATCCACCTTGGCAGAAGGAGCAGGGGGGTCGGGGGGGGGGGTTACAGAACTGTGCCCAGCTCCGTAGCTATACCTCCCCGTGGGGCACATGCACTTGGGGGAAGCAGGCCCTGCCCATCAGTCTTCTTGCAGGTGGCTGAAGAGAGGAGCAAGGGAATTACAAGAGAGCTTCCCCCCCTCCAGCGGCTAGGGATGGGGACTGCTTCCATCCCCCTAGATTTTGCTCCCACGCTCAGAGCATCTGGAGCTAGGGCCCCCAGCCAGACATCACAGACCCTACAAGCAGCCCTCTCCCCCCCTGCACCAGCTAGGCCAAAGCAGAACTCCTGGAGCAGCAGTAGCACAGAGGAGAGGCCACGGGACATTGGCGCCAGCCCCTGGTGCTCGCACCTCTTCCTGCAGAAGAGATGGAAAACCTGAAGCAGGGCGGGGGCCTCTTCCAGCTGGGGCACCGTGTTCCCTACCTACACCATGAAACCAGGGGCTTTGCCTCTGGTCAGTTACACGCCTTCTGTCCAGAGCCTTGTCCTGGCTCCCAAGAGACCCAGAGCCAGCGACCTAAGCAGCAACCCCCACCCCTGGGAGCTTGCAATGCCACGCAGAAGACGTGGGGACACGTACTCCACTGCACCAGGTCAAAAGGGGGGTGGGGGTAAGAATTCTAGCACAGCCCAGCCTTTCACCCCCACCCCGTAACCGAGTATATGTCCCCCCCAAACTGCAGCATGATGGAGAATGAAACCCACGCAGGAAAAACGACTCCAAAATTGCTTAACCCTCAACCTCTTGCTGGGCACTGCCATTATCC